GCGGAGGCGTCGGCGGCGGAGCCCTCGGGACCTCCAGCCAGACCACCTGGCGCCTGGAGGTGGAGAGGTGCCGGGGATCCGGAGCCCCCTGGACCTTTGGGGAGAGGGAACCCCGCTGGTCTCCAGCTCTTCCTTCAGACCTCGGAGGAAAAGGAGGAGGGTCCTAGAGGGGCTGGCATTTTCGGGCGCAGCCAGGAGCCCGGTGTGAGGACGGAGCCCGGCGCCAGCGACCTTTATTACTGGCCGAGGAGAGCCGGGAGACACCAGGGTTCCCACCGCGACTCCCCCGCCAAGACGGGCAATGGACCACTGGGGCACGAAGGGCGGATGATTGCACCCCCCGGAAGGGCGCTGGCTCAGAATGGGTCCTCGGGGGAAGGGGTCCACGAAGGCGAGGATCCCCGCCCGCGAAACAGCACAAACCGGCGCTTGCGACTGAAGAACCCTTTCTACCCGCTGACCCAGGAGTCGTACGGAGCCTACGCGGTCATGTGTTTGTCGGTGGTGATCTTCGGGACCGGCATCATTGGCAACCTGGCGGTGATGTGCATTGTGTGTCATAACTACTACATGCGGAGCATCTCCAACTCCCTCTTGGCCAACCTGGCCTTCTGGGACTTCCTCATCATCTTCTTCTGCCTCCCACTCGTCATCTTTCACGAGCTGACGAAGAAGTGGCTGCTGGAAGATTTCTCCTGCAAGATTGTGCCCTACATCGAGGTAATGCCTTCCAGAGGGTCTGAAACTATTGGCTTTACCCATCTCCGGGTTTTATAGTATCAGGACTGCTGCTGGAGGTACCTACCTGATTGCTGAACCCCTTCACTTTTTCTGTGGGTCCCTCCTTCATTTCTCTTGCCAGTTTATCTATCTATCTATCTATCTATCTATCTATCTATCTATCATCTATCATCAGGGGTAGCTTTGTTCACTCACCTTCAAACTCATCTGCTCCCAGATTGTGCAGTAATTATGATCTCATAATGTGTAGAATTGTTTTGATTTTAAATTTATTTCCCTGAATATAGTGTCACATATATTTCTGATTTGGCACCAAGCAGAGATCCTAGAGTTAATAAGTGGCCAGTGCATGGTTGTCATGATCAGAATCCAGCAAGAAAAAACTTATATAATTCATCTTCTAGATTTCCAGGCTCCAAGATGATTTTTCCCCTCAAGAGATTATTGCATTTTTTTCTTAAATATCAAAATAGGAGTAATATTTTATTCAACAAAGGAAATCTGCCTTTCTTTGTTGTCAGTTGGCCTCATGATATATTAATAACCTCCTAAATTAGTTTAAGTGTCTTTGGCTGTCTGCCATGCTGTCCCATCTAAACTCTCATATCATTTCTTGTTTCTTTCTGTTTCCTTCTCAATTTCTCAATACTTTCATTTATTTTGTATGAATGAGCGTAAGCAAAAATAACACTTTGGCCATCCAGGGACAGAATTTATTTAACATTCTCAAAGTACATATGTTTGCCATTTGCCATTGGCTATTTTAAGGGAATGACTCTAAAACTAGAAGATTTTTTAAAGAAGAGGGGCATATAATAGGTTCTAAACTTTGGAAACAAAAATTTTTCTGCGTAAAATTTGACTGTTTCACCCTACAGCTAGTGTCCTGCACTGTTATTATGGCAGTTGGAATGTGCTCTTTAAATGGCCTCTCTTTAAACACCAGCTCTTGGAAGGAGCCCAAGTGCTTTGCTGCCAGTTGTGTCTTTAGCCAGCTGGCCCTTGATTTCCTCCATTCATACTGCTTGTTTCATTTATGGAAGCAGAAGAAGGGAAACTGTAAATATTCCAGAGCCCCTGATCCCGTCTGGCACCAGGGCCAGTGACACTATGTTGAACATTGTCCCAGGGCCTAAGGCTAGGGGATAAGTACACAGAAACAGTACCTACTTAGAAGGACCAAGACAAGAGACAGTAAATAAGACCCTGTGTTATCCTGGCAGGGATCAGATGCAGAATCAGGCCGTGCTTGCTAAATCAGCTGTTCCTACTTTACCAGGATCCAGGATTTCTCTTGTTGCCAAGCTCCAAGGAACTCTGAAATATCCAGTTTATTTGGTAGACCATTCAATGTTGAATTGCAGAGAGGTAGTTGAATTTATGTTGGTGAATATGTGTCTACCAATTGCCTTTTCAAGGTCAATTTTAACTTAAAATTTCTTTTTTTTTAAGAATGTAGAAGAAATTAAAATATGTAAAGAAGAGGCAACAGTAAACTATAAAATAAACAGGAGAGTTACTCCAATAGGAAAGGCATATGTATTGGACATGGAGAAACCTTTATCATTAGAGGAAAAAGTAATAAAGAAGACAGAAAAAAAGAAACTGGTGAAAGAAACATTTTTACCAAAGTTCTTGAAAAAAAAAAACTTTAAAAGTAAAGAATTCCATCTGAATTCACACAAAAATTGGTTAAATTAATGAGACCTATAAATTGTGAGCGATGGTATTTATTATGTATGGGTTTTCATTTTCATTCTAATTCTAAGAAGTTTTAAAAAATATCTCCTGTGATTTCATTTGTATTTCATCTTCCAATTTAATTCTCTGCTCTTTAAGAATACTTGTTTTTACCTCTTATTATTAACACTAGTAGCCCGGTGCATGGATTCGTGCACATGGAAATTAATTAGAAGAAATATTTTAATATCGCTATTTGCCCTTTCTCTGTAATAGAAATGTCAACAAAAACAACCAAATTCACGATCAAAACACACAAGTGCAGTTGGGGCCAGTGAGAGCTTTATATGTATTGCACATGTGCGAGTCAACGTTTATTTCTAAATTGCCAGTGCTGGTCATATGTACTGGCCAGTCGGTTGGTCAGTCAGTTGGTCGGACAGATGTAGGGTCAGAAACTTAGCCTTTTTATATATAAAGACTAGAGGTCTGATGCACGAAGATTCCTGTAAGAATAGGCCTTCCTTCCCCTGGCTGCCGGCACTGGCTTCCCTCTGGCACTCAAGACATGGGCTGCTTAGCTCCTGCCACTGCCAGGCATCTGGGACCGGGGCTGCTTTGCTCTGGCTGCTGCCGCCACCCACCAGGGGCATGCTTCGTGCCTGGTGTGTGTCCACTGGGGCTGGGGGTGGCACCCAGTCCCCTCCCGCCCATCTGCGTGCGCAGCTCCTCCTGAGTGGTCCTGATGCAGCCTCCTCCTGAGCGGTCGTGATGCCTGGCTAATTTGCATATTGCCTGATTATATATATACTAGAGGCCCAGTGCACAAAAATTTGTGCACTTGGGGGGGAGAGGGGGTCCCTCAGCCCATCCTGTGCCCTCTCACAGTCTGGGACCCCTCGGGAGATAATGACCTGCTGGCTTAGGCCCGCTCC